GCTACGTGAAAGAATGTCAGACACAAAGGCTATCTATTGCGTGGTTCCATTTACAGGAAATGTACAGGATAGGCAAATCCATGGAGGCAGAAAATAGATTAGCGGCTGCCTAAGGCTGACGGGAGAGGGTAACGGAGAGTGACTGCTCGTGGAGGCAGGGCTCCTTTTGGGGCGATGGAAATGTTCTGGAATTATACAGTGGCGAGAGCTGCACAACCTGGTGAGTATATTGAAAACCACTGAAATACACACTTCAGAACAGCAAGTTTTATGGTACATGAATTACATCTCAAAAATAAAAAATAAAAAAGCAGTTGGCTGAATGAGACTGGAGCCACTGAGATGTCTTAACCAAGGGAGAGTCAGCGTAGAGACGGCATTTAAAACCAAGGGAATGGAGAGTCACGCCCAGAGAGCACACAGAAGGGGAGAGGCCTCAAAGGTCTAGTGCCTGCAGAAACAGCCACGTCGAGAGCTTGGGTGGAAGAGGGAAAGGGCAGAGAGGAGGCCACCAGGAGAGTGTAGAGTCACAGCGTTTCCACAGGATAAACCCTGGAGGTGGAATTCTAGGTTTAAGGACATGGCACTTGTAATTTTGACAGATACTGCAAATTCTCCCTCTCACCAACATTGCATGAAAGCGTCAGTCACAGATCAAATTTATTTCTGTTCTGGATTCGGAGTGAGAGAACCAGTGGGCCTGCCAAGTGGAAAGAGGACCAGAGCTGGCTCAGGGTCCTGGGAGAACACAGCGAGGCTGGGGCTGCTGGGTGCAACCTGGCTGAGCTGGCGAGTAGCCAGAGCCACGAGCAGAACCCCAGGCGAGAGGCGATTCATACTGTGGGAGCAGAGAAGGGCCTGTCTGAGAGCCTGGGAAAAGGAACAAAGCAGCAAGAGGTACACAGTGCAGGGCAAGAGTCCTCATTCCAGCATCCCAGGTGGCCACTAAGCTGCTGTGTGACCTTGGATGAGTCACCTCACCACCCTGGGCTTCAGATCGCTCTTCTGCCAAATTCGAGGTCTGGCCAGGCATTTCTGGCCAGGAGCCTTTCCCCTTCAGAATTCTGGTTCCTGATGGAGAATAGGAAAAAATCTTTCTTTTTATCCCACCACAATTGGGGCAGTTTTTCCTTTGGAGGTTTTGTTCCTGTGGTGCTTTTTCCATTCTCTGTAGCAGGTCAGGAGGTCATGATTTCAAGCAAGCTCTGACAAGAATAGCTTAGTTCGATTCAGCAAGCGTTTACTGAGGGTCCCAGGTGTAAGGCCACCATCAGCTCACCCGGATGACCAGTCTCCCTGCTGCCACCTTGCACCTCTGCAGACTATTCTCAATGCAGCAGCTCAGAGCAAAAGGCAAAGTCTACAGCAGCCCACAGGGTCTGTGGGATCTTGCACCTCTCCAGAACCTGCACCCACACACACACACACATACACATTCCCACCTGAGCACATTCCTGCCTCAGGGCCTTTGCACATTCTGTCCCTTCTGCTTTCTCCCAGATGGCCACTAGTTCTGCTCCTTCACTTTACTAAGGTCTCTGCTCAAAATTAACCTCATCGGAGATTTCCCTGACTTCTTTATAGAAACAGCATCACCAGCCCATCACTCTCAACCCCCTTATCCTGCCTGTTTTCCTTCACAGCCCTCATCGCCACCTTCACACTCTGTATTTATTTGTCTGTACCCCCATCACCACCACCACCAAACTGTAAGCTTCACGAGGGTAGGGTCTGCTGCTTCCCCAGTGACTGGAGCAGTGTCTGTGCAGAAGAGGGACCTGGTGCATATTTGGGGAGAATGAATGAATCCTCCCACAAGCCCCAGCCACACGCACCAGTACCACTCTCTTTTTGAATGGACACACAAATAAATAAGACAGGTTGCTAAATTAAGCTCTAGACTTTTTTTTTTTTTTTTTTGCCAAGCTTGGCATCTTTCCAGGCCTGAGTTTCCCTGTGTGAATCTGAAGGTTAGAAGGCCTGGGACAAGCTTTGTGAGTGTAGGAACCAAGTCCTCTTCACTGCTGATCCCAGAGAAGGCACTCAGAAGGGGCTCAGCACTCAATAAATTAAAAGCTGGTTCAGAGAAGGTGCAGGGCCCAATGGGACAGGTTGTGTTCTTCACACTTTAAAAGCTTTTGCCTCCAATCTGGGCAGCTGAGAGCTGGGTGAGGTTTGAAATAGGATTGAATCCTGTCACCAGGAAGGTCCCCAGGTGTGTAACTAAACCTCCACATGCCTTAAGGGTTTTAGAAGAAACTTGGTTTGGTGGTTACAGCCCCCGACAGTAGGGCAACCCTGCCCTCTGGTGGCCACCTAGTGCGGTGCCATCTCGGAAAAGTTTTGACCAAAAAACTTAAAAAATTTTTTTATTCGACAAGTTGCCTAACTCCGTTATAGACAATGGGGAAGACATCAAATAAGAGAATAAAAAGTAATCACATCACCTTAATACCCTTGATGCTACTGGAAATTCCAATCTTATGCCAATTTTATGCCTAGTTCATTCATTCGATCAAGTATCTACGGAGTACCCACCATGTCCCAGGCACTGTTCCAGTCAATGGCTGTGAACAAAACAAGTAAAAAAAAAAATCAGTCACTGTATTTGTGCTGCTTGCACCCTGCCTGTAATCAATCTGTATTTTGTATCCTGATATCTTCACTTCTATCATAACTTATGTTGCCACACACGCTTCATAAAGATCTCTGCCAGCCCACTGAGTTAATGTCTTCAGCCATTTGTCCAGTATATGGGCACCTTCTTCTTGAAATTAGAATGAGGCAGATAAGTCTCCTTTTTTGCAAGAGTCAGGTGCTGCTGGCTGAACTGCTGCCACATGCCACCCGCGTGGGTTTCTTACTGTCTGCAAGTCCTCAGTCCTGGACGTCTGAGTGCTCCAGACCTGAAGTCAGGGCACACGACTTCTATCTAAATACCACCTGCCGGCATTATTCTAGGGGCTGGGGATGCAGCCATGAAAAAGGCAGGCAGGGGCTTCCCTGGTGGCGCAGTGGTTGAGAGTCCGCCTGCCGAAGCAGGGGACACGGGTTCGTGCCCCGGTCCGGGAAGATCCCACGTGCCGCGGAGCGGTTGGACCCGTGAGCCATGGCCGCTGAGCCTGCGCGTCCGGAGCCTGTGCTCCACAACGGGAGAGGCCACAACAGTGAGAGGCCCGCGTACTGCAAAAACAAAAACAAACAAACAAAAAGAAAATACACTGGATGAAGAGTCCATTCATAAGTGTAACACAAAGAACAAACTATTCAGAAAGTCACTTACCCAGAAGTAGGTAATATGTATCTAAAGAAAAGCTGTAAACTTCACTGAGGGGCAAAAACGAAGACTCGAATAAATGGAAAGACACATTTTGTCTTGAACAAAAAGACAGTATTGTGAAAATGTGAAGTTTCCTTAAATTTATCTATACATTTGCCACATACATATAATATAACCTTCTGAACTATAGGGCCAGTATATTACACTTCCCCAACTCCTAGTACCTTCCGTCCACATCACATACCACAGTGTGATTAAATTACTTTGTAATTACATATGTCAGGTTGCTTACCCACTACACTGATAAAATAACACTAAAATTCATCTGGAAAAAAAATGAGTGCAAATGGCCAATAAATTTCTAAAACAGAACCTCACTAGGTAAAAATATATACATGATAAAGCTGGAGTAAATAAAGCAATTTGGCACACATACAAGAATAGGCAGAAAGATCAATAGAACACAATACAGAGCCCAGAAGTAGACCCAACTATACATGGAAATTTAGAACATGATAAAGCCGGAACTACATGGGGGGAATGGATTACTGAGTAAATAGTATTGGGGAAATGGCTAGCCATTTGGAAAACAATTAAATGTGGATCTATACCTCTCTCCTTCACATCAAAATAAATTACAGATGGGTCAAAGATTTAAATGTAAAAATCAAACCATGAAAGCATGAGAAGAAAGCATGAATAGATTTCTTCTGTAGCAGCAGAGTAGAAAATCATGGTACTAATTCCATAAACTGAGAAGGAAAGGATTAATTAATTTGATTCTAAAAAGCATAAAACTCTTTCATGGCAAAAATAAAGTCAAAAGACCATTGGAAAATTGGGAGAAATATTTGCAACAATATGAGAGACAGTGTGCCTATTTCCTTAACTACAAAGAATGCTTGGAACTCAAAAGCCAAAGATAAAGAACCCAGCAGAAAGAACAAGCAAGGCAACTCAGCAGAAAAAGAGATTCATGTGGATAACAGATATGTTGGAAGCTCAGCCTAACTCGTAATTTTAAAAATACAATTTAAAAGGAGTTGCCAATTTTTACCTATCCGAGCGACAAAGATATGGGGAAGTGTTGGTGAGGGTGAGGAGAAATCGCACTCTGGAAATGGAAATCAGAAGGCCATTCTGAGAGGCACTGGACAATAGCTATCAACATTTTAATTGCACGTCTCCATTAAGCCAGCAATTCCACTCTAGGAATTGATTGCACTGCAGCGTTTTTTATAAGAGCAAATCACTGGGAACAATAGGGCAGCAGTCCTTGGGTTTGGCAGTAGGAAAAGAGATCTGGCACACTTGCAAGTGAAAAATGCAAGGTGCAGGAGTCTGCATTGTTTGTTTTTTAAGGTTGCATACATACACACCTGTATACATATATATGCAATTATGTACACACACATATAAAAAAGCATTTATATGCCTCGAAAAAAATTGGAAGTACACAGAAGAAACTGGTTGCCTCTGGGAAGTAGGTCTGGAGGTTGCAGATGAGGGAAAGAGGGATCTGGTTTGGACATTTCACCATATATCCTTTATTATTTGAATTTTTACCATAAGTGTGTATTAGCTTTTGTAATAGTACCAAATTGTTTCATTGCTGTTGTTGTTGTTGTTGTTTTAAGATCACTCAGGCTGCCATGGAGTGAACTGACCAAAGTTACAAGTCATGGCTTGTGGAGAGACATCTAGCCATCCAGATATGACATGATGGTGGCTGGGATGGCGGCGGTGCAGCTGAAAAGAAATAAATGGATTCCAGATTTACTTAAAAGGCAATGCCGACCAGAAGGAAGGTGAGAAAGGAACCCCTTTGCGCTCCCACAGCAACTCTCCTGCCCCACCTTTCTGCCCTACAGCCACTAGACTATCAGCTCTGGGAGGACAGAGCCTGGAGGAGCCCAGGAAGCCGGTGTGCCAGCACTGGCTCTAGGACCTCAGAGCCTCCAAGTGGGAGACGCCCCATGGAGCTAGTGCAGGGAAAGGCACAGAGCACGGGGGAACCTCGGGGAAGACGGCAGGGTCTGAGCCGGCTCTGCCCATCGACCCCCATTACACATCCTCACAAGTACAAGCTTCGGCACCTGCTGAACAAGTATTTGCATGGGTACCATCTACCCTAGATTCAGAAGGGTGTGCAAGCAGAGGCCGTTCCTGACAGGTACACCACCTGCCTCCTCCGCCACTCACTCCCCACAGCCCGAACCCTGGTTCCTGCCCGGCAGGAAGCATGACTTTATTGGCTGGGTGGACTTGGTCCAGGAGGAAGGGTACTCAGCCTTCCCCACCACATCCGTGAGCCCCGGTCCCCACACTCCCTGCCCTCGGCACCTGCTGTTTAGAGGAAGTGATCCTCTGGCCTACCCTGCTGCCCTTCCAACTAGGCCTCCCTCTAACCCTCAACACCTGCAGGCCCCAAATCCACTGAGCAGGAAGTCGAAACTCTGCCCTACAACCACCGGGAAAATCAGGATGACTTCTCAGAGGAGGCAACATCTGAGCTGGGCTTTGAAGCATGAAGAGGAATGAGCTTCTGGCAGATAAAAAAAGACAAAAAGATGTGCACGGGGTATTCAAGACCCAGCAGGCTTCTTGTAGGGTGGGCCTGAGAGCTTGATGGTCTGAGTTAGAGGCAGCCAGATTGTGAAATGCTCTAGGGAGTTATAGTCACAATAGTAACCTCATACCTTGCTGGACTCCCCATGCCCTGGTGTGCTCCCTTCAGAGGGTGCTTCTCACACAGGTACATGTGTGATCCATCTTCTCTACCAGACTCTGAGTTCCTCCAGAAAGGACTGTCATCTCTGTCCAGAGTACCTCGCACGCCCTAGGGCGTAGATGCACAACAAATGTTTGATGACCTAAAACGAAGGGATATTTGCAATTGTGGTGATCACACAACTATAAACATAGGTCAAAACTCAGTGGACTGCATGCCTAAAATTGGTGAATGTTACTGTTTGTGAATTACACCACAGTAAAGCTGACAGGAGAAAGTATAAGCGAACAGCAGAGTACCTGTGCTTTGCAGTTCACCGGGCACTTTCCCATCACTCATCTCGTGTAATCCCGGCCATAGCCCCATTTCACAGATGGAGAAACCGAGGTGTCTGTCTCTTGCCCAGATCCCACAGTCACCAACCTGCGCCCCACCCTCAGAGCTTGAGGCTCACAGGAGATGAGCCCGAGGGACATTTTCAGAGGCTGTGTTTGGGAAAATCCAATGTGCTCCCTCTGCAGTGCCACTTAGTCCTCTTCTAAAATCTGAGGGGGGGACTTCCCTGGTGGCGCAGTGGTTACGGGTCCACCTGCCAATGCAGGGGACGTGGGTTTGAGCCCTGGTCTGGGAGGATCCCACATGCCGTGGAGCAACTGGTCCTGTGAGCCACAACTGCTGAGCCTGTGCTCTGGAGCCCGCAAGCCACAACTACTGAAGCCTGCATGTCACAACTACTGAAGCCCACGCACCTAGAGCCCATGCTCCACACCAAGAAAAGCCATCGCAGTGAGAAGGCCCTGCACCGCAGTGAAGAGTAGCCTCTGCTCGCTGCAGTTAGAGAAAGCCCATGCCAGCAACGAAGACCCAACATAGCCAAAAATAAATTAATTAATTAAAAAATAATAATAAAATAAAATAAAATCTGAGGGGACAGAAACAGTGACCGCAGAGGCTGGTACTGGGTTCCTGCTGTGATTCCTGCTATCTTGCTTTCCGGCCCCTACAGAGAGCTTGGGTACATCAGTTCTGTCCAGTGGGGCTCCTCAGGCCGGCCACAGAGGCTCTGGGTGACACACACTCCTGCCTCCTGCCCACCCCAAGTCCACACGAAATGTGTCACTTTCTCTGTGTGAGTTATTGGGGCTCTCAGTCAGATTCCCTCCAAAGAAAGGCGTTCTACTGCAAATAGGGTTGCCAGATTTAAATAAAAATACAAGACAGAATATTTGGGACATACATATACTACACAGGGCATACTAAATAGGATATACCGACACTGAAAAGCTATCTGTTGCTTATCTGAAATTCAAATTTAACTGGGCATTCTGTATTTTATCTGGCCATCTTAACTGCCCCTCAATCGAATTAAATTAAGAAAACTTTAAATTATATTAAGAATAAAATAAAACAAAACAAATAATAATAAAGTACAATATAAAAAAGAAAGTGAAATGATAAAATTATTTTTTAAATAACATAAAATATAATGCAATTTTTTTTTTTTTTTTTTTGCGGTATGTGGGCCTCTCACTGTTGTGGCCTCTCCGGTTGCGGAGCACAGGCTCCAGACGCGCAGGCTCAACGGCCATGGCCCACGGGCCCAGCCGCTCCGCGGCATGCGGGATCCTCCCGGACTGGGGCACGAACCCCGTGTCCCCTGCATTGGCAGGCGGACTCTCAACCACTGGGCCACCACGGAAGCCCTACAAAAATTTTTAAGTAAATATAAAATAACAAATTTTTGAATAATAAAATAAATTAATAAAATAAGATAAAGATAAAATAATATAAAATAACACACCCCCAGCGGACGAAGGTTGGCCCCTGGCGCCCCGCAGGCTGTCTAGCCGGTGGCCTTGGCGTCTCCCGGGCCGCCCGCCCCGCCCTTGAAGCGCTCACCTGCGGCCCCCCCGCGGCGGCGGCTCACTCCGGAGGGTGACGCAGAGCCCGCAGAAAGCTCTGGAAGAGCCGCTGCCCAGGACTTGCCCTGCTGCGCCTCCCAGGCGGCGATCGCCCCGGAGAAGTGGGAGCTTGTCACTCAGGACCCCCCTAACACGGCATCCGAAGGACGCGGCGGTTTCTCAACCGCTTTTTAACCTAAGCCAGTGTGTTCTAGAAATGGCTTTCTGCCGCTCAGAAAGAAGCGCCCGAAGAGGGAGCAAATGCCGCTCCGTTTTCCGGAAAGTCGCAGGCTCCGCCTCGCCTCTGCTGCTTTGTCTCGCTGGGGAGAAGGTGGTGGGCGCCAGCCGGGTTGACGAGGTCCTAGGACGCCCGCCAAGGCCCCGTGGGAGGTGACGCCGGTGACAGCTCTTCTCGCTGAACTTTGCTGCCCCTGCATTCTGCCACTCACATCCCAGGTGAAGTTGTGTAGGTAGAAAAAGGTGGAGGTGTCCTTGTTTTTTTCCTACGAATCTGAATGCCGAAAGGCACAGCAGAGAATTTTCACTCACTTGGGAGAAAGCCAATCTGTAGGTTGGAAAAGACAATAATAAAGGTATCATAACATTAAATTAATAAAACACAATACAGCCACAAAGCTCCAACCTTCCTTATACCCGATGCTCCCACTCCCTGGGAACTTATGCTAATGAAATAGTTCAAAAGAATAAAAGTGCTATACGCATAGCAATGTTCATTACGGCATTATAGACAGTGCCTAAAAATTGGAAACAACTTAAGATCTAGTAAGAAGAATGGTTAAGAAAACGATTTTACACCCTCAAGATGACATAGCTAGTAGGTGATTATTGCCAGGGTTGTAGAAACACAGGAAATGTTTACAATATCATCTTAGTGTAAAATAGTGTAACATGAAATGCTACATACTCATGGATCTCAGCTCCTTAGAAGTACTTTGTATTTAATTGATGTTTTATTTGGATAATTGTAGATTCACGTGCAGTTGTAAGAAATAATACAAGGGCTTCCCTGGTGGCTCAATGGTTGGGAGTCCGCCTGCCGATGCAGGGGACGTGGGTTCGTGCCCCGGTCCGGGAAGATCCCACATGCCGCGGAGCGGCTGGGCCCGTGAGCCAAGGCTGCTGAGCCTGCGCGTCCAGAGCCTGTGCTCCACAACGGGAGAGGCCACAGCAGTGAGAGGCCCACGTACTACAAAAAAAAGAAAAAATAAAAAAGAAAGAATACAAAAAGCTACCACTTTTACAGTTTCCCCCATTGGTGACATCTTGCAAAACAAGGATATTGACAGTGATATAATCCACTGACCTCATGCAGATTTCCCCAATTTTATTATACTCCTGTCTGTGTGTGTGTGTGCGTATTCTGTACAATTTTAGCACATCGGAATGGTTTTTTTAAAGAACATGTCCATGTGTAGAACTGTGTGAAGGTGGTGGGATGTGAGAGATTTTCTTTTCAATGTTTCTCATTAATGTTGCTACGTTATCAATTAAGAGGAAGGCGTGGACAGCAAAGGCAGGTCGAGAGAGGAGGGGGCCTGGGCCAGGGCTGCAGGAGGCTGAGATGCCCGCCTGGCCGGGCCTGGCCTAGCTCTGTGATCTTGGGCAAATCAAGCAACATCCCTGGAGCTGCAGTTGTCAGCAGCCGAGTGGCGCACATTCCCTGGGCCCTTGCTCGCTAACAGGGCTGCTGTGATGTTGTTTTTGCCAAACTCAGGCAATGTCATCCAGGGCCTGAGCACAGTCAGTTCGCCAGCCCGGCCAGAAGATGAGCCTGGGACGGGGTGGCAAGGGCAGCTCCCGCAGGCTTCTTACCACTCACAGCCCAGCTGCTACCAAAAAGGGAGATCTCACCACCCTCCATCTCTCCAGCAGGCAGACAACGTGCTGAACGGCTTCCCAAATATTTACCGCTGAAGAGGCCCTGTCTGTAGAATTGGACTGTCAGGCTCAAGAGCAACTCCCGTGGGGCAGCTGGAGGAAGACGGGGCCTGATAGGAAAGGAGCTCATGAAACAGTGCCCACTGGCCTCCTCCGATGCTCCCGAGAAAGTCGCCTGACTTGGGCTTTCTCCCCAGGGGGGTCCCTAAGGCGTCCAGACGTGCCCTGTGTTGCTTTGTGCTGAAGGGGTCCCACACCCTCTCCACTGGGGAGAAGAACCGAAGGCGCGTTTCTGAAGGTGTTTCAAAAGGAGATGTTCTGTGTTTTAACTCCAGCTCCTTCAAATGCCTTTTCTGTGACAGCTCCAGGCTCACAGCTCCTCAGACATCCTGACTTTCATCACGGTTAGCCTTCCTGTCCCCTCAGCCCAGGACGCCCCACAGCCCTGGCCTTCTCCTCCTGTGGATTACCCCCACCCCTGATCCTTTAAGGAGGGGACAGCAAATATTTTCTGTAAAGGATCAGATAGTAAGTATTCCACACTTCGCATGTGGTCTCTGTCACCACTAGCCACATTTATTTATGGACACTTGTTATGGGTTGAACTGTGTCCCCCAAAAGATAGGTTGAAGTCCTAACTGCCCAGTACCTGTGAGTATGACCTTATTTAGAGATAGGGTCTTTGCAGATATCATCAAGTTTAGATGAGGTCATTAGGGTGGGCCCTAATCCAGTATGACTGGTGTCCTTATAAGAAGAGGGACTTTTTTGATACGGACACACCCACAGAGAGAACACCATTTGAAGACACAGAGAGAAGATGGCCATGTAAAGATGGAGTGATGCTATCACAAGCTAAGGAACACCTGGGGCTACCAGAAGCTCAAGAGGCAAGGAAGGATCCTCCCTAAGGCTTCAGAGGGAGCCTGGCACTGCCAACACCTTGATTTTGGACTTCTAAGCCTCCAGAATCGTGGGACAGTAAGTTTCTGTTGTTGTAAGCCATGCAGTTTGTGGTACTTTCTTATGGCAGGCCTAAGAAACTCATAGAGAGCTGAAATTTGAATTTGACATAGTGTTCACATGTCACCAAATACTTCTTCTCCAGGTATCATTAGTCAAGCTAGAACACAAGGCAGCCTCGGGATCTGGCACAGACACAAGTAGGCAGGTAAGAGCCTGGGACGAGGGCTGTCTGGCCTTTCCCCCAAAGACCGTGCCTCTCCACTGAGCCCTCTCTCAGGGCCTCTGAGACAGCCGGCCACACCCCTTGCTAAAACAAATAAAGGCTTCAGCACCACACAGCCGTTCTCCATCCCAGCTTATTGGATTAGCAGTGACCCCCATCCAAGCCGGGCAATCAGATTCTGTCCCAGAAACCTGGTGTGGAGTGAGAGACTGGGTCAACTAGGCATGGTGCCTGGACGGAAGATTAGGAAGGTTGGGACACCAGCCCTCTAGAGGGGCCACGGCAGAGGTAAGGGAAGGAAACAGACAAGGGAGGGCCACGGGCAGCGTGCACATGGCCCCAGGGAAGGAATGCTGGAGAGGGCCACTGTCTGGGTGTCCCTCCGTACTCTGCTTCCTGCAGCTGGGTGTCCTGAAATGCCTGACTGCTGATTCCAGGGCCCCCTCGATGTTAAATAGCTCAGGGGGCTTGCAGCTCGCCAAACCGGCTGCCCTGCGGCAGGCTCACAGGGAAGGCGGGACGGGGCGGCCCAGAGCAGGTCCTCAGAGCGCCTGCCCCCGTCCAGGGAGGTCCCACCTGCCTTCTCGGGCTGGGATGCCTTACTTCTGCCCGAGGAAGGCATCTGGGGTGACTTCTGGGAAACAAGGATCCCCCAGAAAAGAGGGAGGGAGGTGGGATTCCAGCAATTTCACTGGTGGCAGCATAGGTCAAAGACTAATTCCATAACGTTAGATCTCGTTGACTGAGGACGCATACACGTGCTCTCTTGAACACCTGGCATACACGTCTTAATCCTCACAACAGCCCTGGGAAGGAGGCTATCAATTGTTCCCACGTTACAGGTGAGGAAACGGGGTCTTTGAAGAGGTTGAGCTGATTGCCGCACAGCTGGTAAAGAGCTGGGATTCTGACTCTGGTCCGTCTGCCTTTTCTGCTTTGCTGCACTGAATCCTTACCATTATTAAGATCCACAGTTCTAGATTTGATTCCTCCAGCTTCTGTGGCCTTGGAAATGTGAGTCAGTCAGTTGCAAGATAGGGGTGTCAGTGTTTCTATTCTAATTTTTCCAGAAGCTGAGCAGTCTCCCAGCGGTCTGAGGGCAACCAGCCATGAGTATCTTCTACTGACCTCTCTGGCCTTCCCGTCTCCCTGAGTAGCCTGTGTGTTCCGTGATGTAGACCCTCTGCCCTCTCCGTCCTAGAAACCATGTGTGATGGCATCTGGTTGCTCTTGTTTTGGGTTGATCGGCCCCTTTCAACTCCATGTCCTTCTGGAACCAGGGGGTCTACCTCCCCCACCCCACTACCCTTCAGCCATATCACTCTGACTTGGCCAATCAAGGTACCCAGCTCCCTTGGACACAGTGACTGTACCCAGTAATGAGATGGTACAGGATTAAGCAGGACCAATCAGAATTCTTCCCTGAGCTAGATGGCTGTCAGCTGAGAGCATGTAAATTTAGGGCTGTCAGTGGCCATCTTTCCCCCGTCTGGAATCAGTCTGTTTACAGAGGGAAGCCAGACACAGCCAAACAAAAACAAATGATAGAAGTGGAGAGAGCTCGAGAGAGCTGAGAGAGAGAAAGCCAAAGAGAGAGACAGAGAGACAGCAGAGGCACCAAGCCTTGGCGCCAGGTCTCGAGGTCTGTTCAATGCTGTGAATAATCAACCCTGCATCCTTCCTAACTGAAAGGGTCTGCTTCCTTTTTGTTAAGCACATGGTTCTGTAATATGTCACCATGACGAAGGCAGTATGATTCACCCCATGAGGTTCAAGGGGTGGAGGATGAGCTGATCAGAAAGTTTCTCTCGTGGTGACAGCCAGCCACATCTTCCTGTTGGAAATAAAGACAGCCCCTGTAGCTCTGCCCCACTGTTTGATCTGTCCACTCTGTCTGCCCTTTGGAATAGATGGTGTGTTCTACACAGCCAGACCTGGAGATCCAGAACACCTATCAGACCTTCCCAGTGTGGGCTCCAGCCATACAGAAACCTGGATAGCAGTTCTTGGGGCCCTGCCTCTCTCCTAAACCCCACGTCAGT